CCTGCACTTCTCCCTCCTCAACGGGTTGTTCCTACTAGAGAAGACATGGAGGTGTGTGCTGACGAGCAGACTTGAAGTTAGCCTACACCAGCATTCTAAAGTTGGCTCCTGAAAGTGTAAATCGGATTCTGGAACAATCCTTAATTTTGTAGGGAGTGGGTGAGTGGGCTTCCCACAGCCAATCCAACCCTCACGGGCTTTCTAGAAGCCATATTGGAGGGACACAGCACCATGTTGGTTCTCCTTGAAATGTAAGAACAATAACTTAAGAAGAGAGTACCCTAGCTGGGCGTTGGTGGAGCACGCCTTTAATCCCAGCACTCTGGGGGCAGAGGCAGATGGATCTCTGTGAGTTCGAGGCCAGCCTGGTCTACAAGAGCTAGTTCTAGGCCAGCCTCCAAAGCCACAGAGAACCCCTGTTGGAGAAACTTGTCTTCTGGAGAAAGATTTATAACTTGTTGAATTGACCTTGCCAGAGACACTGGAGCTATGAGACTGTGGTGGGCAGGGTGACACTGCTTGCTGAACTTTTGGCTGTGTATGTCTCTTGCTTTCTATTTATTTAAAGCATAACTTCCATTTTATTTATCACGTTTTTTTCTTCTGTCCTTATGAAGTCAGCTTTGGTGGACGTTGTGGTGCAACATCATCATCTAACTTGTGGTGGGAGTGGCCCATCTTTCCAAGTTTCAGCAGATTCCCGACTACCTTGCCAAGATCGCACCACTCACGAAATGCAGCTTGACGGAGTTTGGGAAGAACATACACATTGTCCCTGGTGGCAGAGGCTTCTGCAATGCTCCTAATGACAAACTTAATGGCCTCTTCCTTGGGCAGTTCACGCAGCAATTTTTTTTTGGCACAACCGTTGTCTTCTTCCCTTAGTCATCTTGGAGTCAAAACCCAAAAGAACAGCCATTTATTTTTTAATTTAAAAAATTTAAAGAGTGTGTTTCTGTGTACATGAGGGCATGTTCACAGAGGCAAGAAGAGGATGTAAGATTTCCTGGAGCTGGAGTTACAGGTGGTTATGAGGCCACCATCTTGGATTTAGGTCCTCTGCAAGAGCCTCAAGACCCCTCAACTGCTGAGTCATCTCTCCCAAAGAGCTTTGCTTAACCAGAGAACTACTTTTAGCCTCATTACAAATTCCACTCTCTGGGCAGTGATAGAAAGACGGGTGTTCTTAGCAAGTTTTAGAGATGTGCCTTAGAGAGCCGCCAGAGTATACAAAGACTTCCCAGGGTTCCTCTGTGACAAACCCACTGCCTGAGATTCCTTCACACTTTCTGCTTCCTATTTGACTCAGTCTGAAATTCCTTTCTTCTTCAAAGCCTGGAACCCCAGCTTTGCCTGGAGGGCTGATTAAGAACTCTTCAGGCCACTGCAAGGACAGTATGGTGCTGTATCCTCATGTCCCAGACAGAAGCACCACAGGTATCCTCCAAATAGAATCTCCCCTGCTAACAGGGGGGCAGGGGGGTAAGTGGGCTTCCCACAGCCAATGCAATCCTTATGGGCTTTCCAGAAGCCACCCAGGAGGGGCACAGCTACCAAACTAGCTCTTTGACAGGTAAGGATACCTCGAGAATAAAGCAGGGCACCTGTTGGGGACCACAAATTATTTTGGAAATATGTTCCACCTGGCCACTATTTTCTTAGAACTCAGAACTTAGTGTCTTTTAGATATGTCAGCTGATTACTGCTGGATACCTGGCCTAGGTGGGGAATGGCTCCTATTCTTTATAACAAGACTTGGGCCAGGGGGAGTCTACGTCTACCCTGAGGGCTAGTGCTGGTATTGGGTACCTGAGGGCTTGAGTACGTGCTACTAAGGAATGTCTCTAGTATTAAAGTTAATTATTTGCTATCAGCCTTTTATATAGGATAATGGATGTCTTCTGCCATTACCCCCACTTCTGGATGGTTACTTAAAATGGTGCTTCAATAAACCGTGACCTTTAGTATTTCCTGGGAGCCCTCCAGATATGACCAGATGTTTGTCTCATCCTTAGAGCCATTGGATGGATAGCTAGGCCTTCCCTCATCCACATACCTCCACTCAGGGTCGAACCCAGGATTGTTAGGCTGGTTCCGATTGTAGCCCCAAAGACATCAGTCTGGAATAGATGGCCCCTGTGGCGTGGGGATAATACAGACAGGACCATGACATGCACCTAGGATAGGAACCAGTTATTTTCTCCCCGTCACTAGAACAGAACTTGGTTCACCTAAGAACTTAAGGACAAGTCCTATTGTCACCCAGGTGACTAAAGGCAAACCATAAGCATTAGACTGTTTGGCACCACCAGTCCTTTTTCATGTGAGAGGGCTTGGTTTTTGGCAGGGCAGGCCTGTTGCATCTCAATCTCATTTTGAGCTCCCAGGCTCTGCTTTTTCTCGATTATGGTTCCAAGAGCTTCCTGGGATACATGGAGAAGCCAGTCTTGGTTGTTCAGATTTGTGGAGATCACCAAGCAGCAATAGGACCAGAAGGCTGTGTGTTTTGCAAGTACATCCATGTCTACAGAAGCCAGGTCAACCTTGGCGTGTCATTCAGGTCTGTCCACTTCTTTGAGATAGGGTCTCTTAATGGCTTAGAACAAGTAGGCCTGTCTGGCTGCTCATTAAGCCCCAGGGATTGCCCTGCATTTGCATCCTTATTGGTGACACTAAGTTCAGCTCCACCATGCCTCTTGCATGTGATTTCTAGAGCTGAAAAGATGCCTCCCAGGCTCAGATGGAGATAGCTTCCCAGACCCACATATGAGGGTTGTTCTAGTGATGAAAGGTTAATGCTACTCAGAGGTTTATTTATTTATTTATTTTTTGACAACTTCTAGTAGTTAAGGGACCAGGGAGGGGACAATTAAGAGACCATAAAGCTGAGAAGCCTGACACCTGATATCATGTTTATTTCTAAAAGTCACAACTTCAACATTATGAATATGTTTCCAGGCACAGGACATGCAGATTCCTCAGATGTCACCCAATCTGGGAATGGGGTGCACACCTGGCAAGGCTGGAAGCTCTTGAGATGGAGACCAGCCTGGGCTACAAAAGAAAAACCAAAAAGTACCACCCTACACAATAAAAACCAAAACAACAACAAAAGCCAAACAAAATAAAGTCAAACTACTTTTTAGTATTTTTATAAATTTATTTAAAAAAAAAAAACAATTGCAATGACATCAATGATCACCTGTACTCCCCTTGGTGGTGGGGAGACCTACATAGTTGAGTTCCAAAGGAAAATCAAGACATTATTATCAAGCACCCTGTAGCCATGAAAGGCTGTTGGGGCAGTGTCTAGACGCTGGCGTGTCCCATTACCAGTGCAATTAAAATATATACATTTAGTTATCCTGCTCAGGAAGTACAGAGATGCAGTAGACCAGGGGCCCACCCCTCCACTCACTCTGTGTCTTTGAAGCCATCACTACAATTCCAAGAACAAGTAAAAAGAACTAAGTTAAACAAACAAAATCAAAAAATCAGCCCCACCCCCATGGGCTATTATGTTGTGTTAGAATGACCACAATGAAAGGGTTATGAGCTAACTGCAATGCAGTGACAACATGGAAACCCAAGCATCTGTTTCAAAGGAAATAAAACTCAAACTCACTTTCCTCAAAATGAAACTCAGCAACAATATGAGGTTAAGATATGTACAAACTTACAGACACAAATAAATAGCATTCTACAATTGCTGGCTTAAGCACTAGACATTAGGTCTGAGGAATCCCTGAACCCTTCCTTCCCTTAGAACCCTTACCACCACAAAGGTAGAAATTCCTCATGGTTTTCAGTAATATCTGAAAGCTCATGTGAAGAGCCAGAAGTTTCTAGTAAGTTTACTAAAAAAGGATTAGCCCCCTCTGACATCTGGAAGCCAGGAGAAAATGGCAAGATTCCTGGGAGAAGGGAGTGATGGCTTAATTCCTGCTTCTCCGATTAAACTGGTCTCCCTGTGATGTTCCTTTATAAGGTTAAAATCTTTCCCATCTTTAACACAGAACAAAGTCAAAGAGCCAGTCTTCAGACTTGATTGGTATTTTAACCAACCCCCAAAGTCTTTGGAGTGACTGCATTTGGCTTTGACTGCAGAGCAGGCGGCCAGCCCTTCTGAAAAATCAACTGTGGCTTTCTCCTCCAGGCCTCAGCATGCACAGTAGATTCCGGGCTGGGTGTGTGGCTCAGTGGTAGAGTGCTTGTCCAGAAAACGGATTTCTGAGGCCCAGCTCACCCCCGGGGACTGTGGCCCAATTCCTGACCCTGCAGGAATCTTCTTCCCAGTCTGTAGTTGATCCCTACAGCACAGATGCACGTGCAAACCTTGCTGCAAGGCCACAGAGAAAGGAGAAAACGAGTGGAAACTGGCACCAAAGAAATCAGCTGCCATGGGAAGAACATTTACCCTCTGGGCCAGCAAAAAGAGGCGGGGGTGAAGCCCAGTCTCTCCTCCACTCTGAGCTCCAGCAGTGTTCCAGTCTGCATCCAGGACAGCTGCCCCAACAGTGCTTTTTCAGACAATATAAGGAGCACACCTCCAACCTCCCTTTTAGTGCATGGCAGAAGGTTGTCAGTGTGAATGTAAGTGACTTGGTCTCTTCAGCGTTAGACCCATGCCTGGTATCCAGCCACTGGAGAATCGTGCTCTCTGGCAGCACTCGGGCAGGCAGGACACTTCTTGCTCTCTGGACTGAGATGCAAAGATCCTTTCGTTCCCTACTCGCTGTCATAAAGCCCATGATTAAAAATCCTAGGTTTGCCTCTGTTGAGACAACTACTGTAAACGTTGATACTTCAGCACAGATGTTGCGAAGTTTTGTTCTCTACTGGGAAAATCTGCTGCAAGGTCCACTTACTCTCTAAACTGTCTTTAAAGTGACCCAATATTAATGATGGCCTAGATGCCCTGTTAACAGGGATGAGCAGACCACAGCCAGAGCTAGAAAGATTCAGTGATGTACCTTTTAGATCCTCAAGGTCTTCTATCCTTTTATCCTGAGTCCAAAATATCCTCTTTGAACTTTCTTGGCTGAAGTAAAACACACCAACCTAGCACGTGGGCAGACAGGTTCTCATGACACGGATCAGAAGACTGCAGCCCAGCCTGTTGCTCTGTGCCGTGACACGAAGCTTCTTTGCTTGGGAGGCACCTGGGTGCAAAGTGTCCATGTATCAGCCAGCCCGACATCCCCCAGGGGACGGATGCTGGTGAGACTTCACAGGAAGGCATGAGCTGTGGCTGCCTTGACCGTAGACCAGGATGAGACGGCTACTCTCCCCTACTGCAATGGCTGACTGGTTGGCCTTATACACTCAACTTAAGTGCTTGTATACGTAATGCTGGGCAGGTAAATACCTCCTTGTATCATCCAAATTCACAAAGGTCAGTGTCACCAACAGTCTCAAACAGGTCCTGAATGAAAGGGTGAGACAAAGGCTTGCAACTTCAGTTCATCAGCCATCACTGCAGCTGTAATACTGAGCTAAGCATTTTCTGTCCTGAGGAAGGGCAGAGTGCAGTCGTCAGTGTCCCATTGGAAGAGTCAGTCCATTTCCAAGAACAGTGGAAACAGCAGAGAGGAATGTGACTGATCAGCTCTGCCGCCCTCCTTCGGTTAGGAAACTCGGATAATCTGTGTCATGGCTTCTTCATCAGCTTGGTTCGGATCCTACAGATAAAGACAGCACAATAGTCCTTCACACCAGTAACAGGAGTTCCTGGTTCTTACAACTCATCCCAGGGAACCCACACAACTTTCAAGTAAAGGGAAGCTCCAGACTGATCTCTACTTCCATATTTAAACACAACTCTACCACAAAGAGGCGGCAGAACCATTCCCTAAAAGCACTACGGCCTGGCCTGGCTCCCCACCAAGCACTGCATTCATAAGCACCCTGACCTGTGCTACCCTTAAGGTGCAGGTATTTGGGTAGCTTGGACAAAGACCCAGAGCAAGCACTATGATATGCTGTATATTTGAGTCATTATTTTATATATGATGATCTCAAAATAATGGAATCCTAATAGTATTCTATTCCACACATGAAGAGACACACTAAAGAGGCTAAGGAATTTACCAAGACCCTCCTGTAAGCATGGAAAAAAGGAAAGCCTTTAATACAATGGCCTACAGCTGGTAGTTCCTAATCAGACATTCGCAGACAGCAACAAGAACAGAGGAGCTGTCATGCTGAAAGAGACCATCAGGACTGAAGGAAACCATCAGTGCTCACTTGTGGACATGCCAAGGAAGCCCAGGCTGCCTTGAGCAGACTGCAAAAGCCTTCACTATCTGATACAGAACTGCCTGTGGTCAACTGAAGAGACAGAGGAATTCCATGCTGATGATAGCTAAATAAGTCAACAAAAGGAATCCATTAACCCAACCAGTATTTACGTTGGGTGGTGGTGGCCCATGCCTTTTGTCCCAGCACTCAGGAGATAGAGGCAGGTGGATCTCTGTGAGTTTGAGACCAGCCTGGTCTAAAAGAGCTAGTTCCAGAACAGCCAGCCTCCAAAGCCACAGAGAAACCCTGTCTTGAAAAACCAAAATCAAAACAAACAAAAAACCAACCAGTATTTACTACTGAGTATTTGTTCAGAACTGGATCCTAAACTAACCCCAACAAACACAAGAGAACAAAACCTTCTACTTTGATGTAACTTATATTCCAGTAAAGGAAGCAGTGTGGACGAAACCAGAGAAAATCTCTTGATGATTTTTATATTTTAAAGAAAAGGAAGAAATTGTAGGAAGATATGAGAGTAAAAGAGCTCTATCTAGAGATGAGAGCAGGCTAAAGGCCTTTCAGAGCTAAGCCAGGTCTAAAAGTAAGGGAGACAAAAACTGCCTGTGGTGGCACATGCCTGTAATCCCAGCACCTGGGAAACTGGGTCAGGAACATTTCAAATTTGAGACTGGCCTAGGCTACATAGTGGAAAGAGATACCTGTGTAAAAAAGATGCAGAAAAGAGCATTACAGACCAGAAAGTGTAAAGACAAAGGACCAGGTAGAACAGATACATGGGTAATCAGCAAGCAAAAAGGATCAAATGAAGATAGAAGTAGGTAGACAAGCTCACTGGCCAGAGCCAGGACTGTGGGTATTTCAGCACAAATGCCACAGGAGATTGCTGTGAAAGCAAAGGCGGGGTGGGGTGGGGGATGGGGGGATGAGACATCAGGGAAACCACACTAAGGTGTGGGGATGTGAAGTGGGAGGCCAAGAGTGGGAGACAGTGGATATACTAATGCACAAAGAAAGAGGGCCAGGCCAGGCGGGCATCAGTTAGCCGGGGACAGCAAACAGATCAAATTATGTTCCAGAGATAAAACCAAAAGAGCTTCAGAATCCAAACCATCCAAACTTTTAACAATCGGGTGGTGACAGGCCACTTGTAGAGATGAGGCACTGGTTTGGTAATAGACTAATGAACCAAGCACTGCATTTTGGACATATGGATTCAGAAACATCTAAGAGGTAATTAGTGGACTTCTACTCCCTAGATCTGAATTTAGTCGATGGGCTTATTTGTGGAAGAAATAGGGTTGAACCTAATGTATGCCAGTCAAACACTCTCCACTACTGAGTGAGCTTACACCCTTAGACCTTTATGAGACTGAGTCTCACTAAATTAGCTCGTCTCTCACTCTATAGCCCAGGCAGGCTCTCTACTTGTTATCTTCCTGCCTCAAGTTTCCAGAGTAACTGGGCTGACAGGTCTGCACCACCAGGGCTGTCTCAGCTGTGTAAGTATTGACTTTATACATATAAAGACTTTATTCATATAAAGTTACTTATTTCTCAAAAAACTCATGCCCCATATTCAACTGTAAAAGATGGTGACAAGAAATCATTCATATCCCACAGACCTGAGGTTGCTAGTCAGTAAAACAACAACTAAAGTTTACTGGAGTGCTTAACACAAGACCGCCACATAATAAATATTATGTCACCTACTTCTAATATAGCATGCTAAGAAGATAATAAAACTTTTCCTTAGAAAAGAAAGAATCGAGAAGATAAAGCTTCAGAAAAATAAGAAGGTAAAGGCCAAAACTTTTAGTGCTTTTAAAAAGAAGGAAGCTAACCAACGGCACCACATTCTGTGGAGGACACATTTCCTTGAATGCTGAAGAGAAGGCAGGCAGCTGAGAAATAAAGGGTTCCACCTCCTTACCTGAATATGAGGACCATCCTTTTCCTTTGGAGAGAAGAACCGGCCCCCTTCACCACGCTTCCGTGCCATGGCATGTCGATGCCGAGACTCATGGAGGTATTTCTGAAGAAAGAAAATGAGACCATGTGACAGTTAGTGAGAGCTAGCTAGTGGTTACCCAGTGCACTGAGTCAGTTGGTAAGACAGTGGCAATCACAGGAACAATGAAGACTGAATGGTGGAGAAAGCTCTGAAGAAATAAGGCAGCGGGTGGCCACATAAGCACCATAAAAAAAGCACACGCCTTTAATTCCAGCACTCAGGAGGCAGAGGCAGGCTGATTTCTGTGAGTTTGAGGCCGGCCTGGTCTACAGCCAAGGCTACACAGAGAAATTTGAAAACAGTGAGAACAAACAAACAGTGAGGGAAAAGTGAGGATCCTTACTGTCCTCCTAGCACTGACCCTTCCTTCCTCTGCTTCAGCAACCGACCATGGTTTGGTTGAGCAATGGTCAAGAGGAGACACCATTTCTATGCTATCTGTAGGTTTGTTAGACTGGGGCACTGGATGGTGGCTAATGTGATGGATGGACTCCTTTAAAAAGAGAGGGCTCCTTTCACATTATACTTTGCCTCTTGGCTAGAGTCCAACAGCCATATGACTATACTGATGTACAAGCACCTGGACTTCTTTTCAGGAGAAAGAGGGAAATGTGTGTGTCACCGTTCTGACAGCAAACCTGCATGCATTCCGTTGTTTGGAAGTGACAAGGAAACACTGTATTTTAGATGACTCCCCCTCCCCAAGACCAGGTTTCTATGTGTAACAGTCCTAGCTGTCCTGGAACTAGCTCTATAGCTCTGTAGACCTGGCTGGCCTTGAACTTACAGAGACCTGCCTGTCCTTGCCTCCTGAGTGCTAGGATTAAGGTGTATGCCACCACCACCCAGCTTCAAGACTATCTTACAAGGCAGAGCAAATGTGCTACTTCCTGCCTGGCACTCCCCACGGAATACGCACCCTTCTTTCCTTTGGGATTTTCCCTTCTGCCTCTAGCTTAGCCCGTGCTTGTCTCCTCTTAAGGATTCGGTGATATTGCTTGGCATTCACATACAGGGGCTCTTCTTCCAGCATTTCTGCTCCAGGTAAAGGGATTCTCTGGATAGCAGGCACGGAGCCAGCTCCTGGCACCATCTGCATCAACAGGAGACCGGACTTTATTAGTAGCATGAAAATTCTAAATAAAATTGCACACTCACATCTATCTTCCATTGTATCTCCAATGTTTATAATAGTCATCAGAGTGAATTATGCATCTTGTGAGTGTAGACCACTGTTAGTACCCAAGGGTGGCGTTCAACTCTAAGAAGTTCACACCACAACCAACTTCACAAGAGACATCAACTTGCAGTTCAGAGACAGAGAACTTGTGGAAAGCTTCACTGCCAGACAACAGAAGTGGGGGAATGTTACGATAAATCTTTCTGCCAAAAGCCGCCCGAGTTCTGCCCGTTGCGTGGATGGACAAAATAATACAGAGACATATTAGGTACAAATGCTGCTTGGCCAATGACTAGGATTTCTCATCTGTTAGCTGTTAATTATCATAAATCTATATATTTTATAAGACTTATCTTATAGAGGATGCCCTCCATTGGCACCCTCTCTTGCCGGTGGCTCACATCCCACCGTTGGAGGAGGCGAAGGGGAAAGGGGACACTTCCTGTTTCTCCTTGCTTAAATATGAGTCTCCTTGCTATGTCACTTCCTGCCTGGATTACCACTTCTCTACTACATTTCCCAGAATCCCCTTTGACTCCTAGTCCTGTATAACTTGCTGTCTCATTGGCCAAACAGAACTTTATTCAACAATCGGTAAGATAAACATACACAGAAGTACATTCCCCATTAGGGGAAGCCACTTTCCTTACCATGACCATTCCTCCTGAGTTGACCACATTGCCTGCCACTGGCAGTGTCACAGTGACAGTCCCTTGTCCACTGCTGGTTGTGTTGGTATTGGCTCCTGTCTGAACGATCTGTGCTCCTGCCAAACTGGCTGCTGGAATGGTGATCATGCCTGAAACAGGGACTGTAACTTTAAGAAAACAAAACAAACAAAACAAAGCAGAAGGCACATGGAACAGAAAGAAGGGAAGATGGTTAGTCCCTTCCATCTGGCTCCTGTACACCCTTCCTGCATAAATGTGCTGACAAACACCAGGAAGAAAGCAAATGCCCTCTCATACTCCTTTACTCCATTTGCTAGGTAGTATGGAATTCCACATAAATTCTACTCCCTCCCATCATACTGTACATTCATCCCACCAATGGGATCACAAGGGCAAGATCATGTTGAGGCCTCCCTACTGCTGCTGCTTTTCTATGAAGAAACAATCTGCTGCTGGCAGCATGCTTGCCAAGGCTCCCTCCAGTGTGAACAACAAACAGCTATTGTATTCTCTGCATCTAGTATGCTGCAAAATCTTGGTCTGAATGAACCAAACCATCATGGAATCTGACTGAGATGGCCTTTCTGGACTTAAGTTAGCTTCCAAAGCATTTAAGTCTACTTTGAGCACGTTTCCTGTGTTTATGCATTTCTTCCTAGAGTATACCCCTCCCTCCCTCCCCCCCCTCTCTCTCTCTCTCTCTCTCTCTCTCTCTCTCTCTCTCTCTGTGTGTGTGTGTGTGTTTCCATCTCCTTAGCTAGGTGGAGACTCTTTGAGAAGCCCTCTTGACTCTAAAAACTCTAGTCTACAACAGCAACGTTTGATCATAATATGGTGATAAGAACTGACAATCACTGGAGATCTGCTAGAAACCTTGTTGTTTACATGTGATGTGGACTTCACAACAACTCTGAAGCACCTACAAGTACTCAAAGGCTAAAACTAATGCCCTGCAGAGTTCCAGGGCAATAGTGGTAGCTTACCTTGCTGGAGAATTGTGCCATCTGCATTAACTGGCTGGTAGACAATAGTCTGCCCTTCAGCAGTCTGGGCCACTTGTTGTCCCTGGACAGCAATCTGCTGTTGTGTCTGTAGAACCAAACAGTGACATAATCCACAGAGGCTAAAGGCCCACAGAGAACCCAGTACATTTTGATAGTTTTCTTCTGCATTCACATTCTTCTGTGTGAAGTAGATGGCTTACTGCTTGCTCACCTGAGTCTGGCCAGCGGTGACTGCAGTCTGTGGCTGTTGAATGATGATCTGCTGGGTCTGACCCTGCTGGCCTTGCACCTGCACAGCCTGTCCACCCTGGATCTGGATTTGACCAGGGGGGACCAACTGTATCTGTGGAAGAGAATATACAAAAAAAGCTTGGCACCAAACTGATACAATTCCTTTGGTTCCTTATTTTTGTTTTCACTTTTTATTTTATGTGTATGGTGTTTTGCCTGCATGCATGTATTCACCATGTGTGTGCCTGGTGTACAGAGGCCAGAAGAGGGGATCAAATCATCTGGAAATGGAATTACAGATGTCTGTGAGCCACCATGTGGGTTCTGGAAATCAAATCTGAGTCCTCTGGAAGAATAGCTAGATTCTTTTTTTTTCTTTTCTTTTCTTTTTTTTTTTTTTTTTTTTGAGACAGGGTTTCTCTGTGTAGCTTTGGAGCCTATCCTGGCACTTGCTCTGGAGACCAGACTGCCCTTGAACTCACAGAAATCCACCTGCCTCTGCCTCCCAAGTGCTGGGATTAAAGGCGTGCACCACGAATGGCCAGCGAACAGCTAGTTTCTTAACTGCTGAGCCATTTCTCTAGTCTCACACCTTTGGTTTCTGCAAATTAGCTGAATAAATTCCTCTGGAGACCAGGAAATACATAGAGGCACATGCCTGTCATTCTACAACTTGGGAGGCAGAGGTAAGATGATCAGGAATACAAGGCCAGTCTTAGGGACACAGTGAATTTGAGGCTAGAGTATGAGCACATGAGACTCTGTCCCCAAAATTACAACAGAGTAATAAATTCTTTGAAGAGGATAGGAGTTTTGTTCTAATAGTAGCTATCAATCACTGAAAAGCTTGTTTCCATTTTTTAAGCCATCCAATAATAATATTGAATATTGTTTGGGATATCAGCAATTAAAGAATTGGTATATTCATTTAAAAAAGACAATTGCTGGCATGGTTATTTTTTAAAAATACATTTGCTTAAAAATACTCATGTGCTTTATAAATGAATAAAATAACTTTCAAAATATATTCTTTCCAAGTCAAATGTGAAGCTAATGGTAGCCAAGGTCAACACTTTGATTAGGTCCTTGAGAGAGACACAGATCAGCTGTCAAGATTACTGAGACACAGAAACTGAAATGCACAATCATCAATTTGATTGGATAAAGAATCACCATGAGAACAAGGACTAGGAATGTCTTGTTGAGAGATTTCTAGATTACATTAACTGAGGTGGGAAACCTATCTAACTGCAAGTGGCATCCCATGATTTGGGGTTCTGAAAGGAGTTGAGAAAAGGGGAAAGCAAGCTGACCCACAGCATCCCAACTGCAGATGCAATGTGACTAAGTGTTTCATGTTCCTGCTGCCATGCCACGTCTTCCCTACCGTACTGGACTGGTATCTGTAAACTGTGAACCAGACAAAAGATAACTAATACAAAATGCTTCTTGCTGTAACAAATGTGTTACACAGCAGTAGATAGATAAGGTGATATGGCATATTATATATATTCCTGTTAATCTAGTTCTAAACCCCTCACCACTACTCAGTGTTGCCATTAATGTTCATCTACCTCTTCCAGACTTCTCCTTTGGAGTGCCAAACCTCACAGGGCAAATATGGAAAGCAGGAGACCCTGTGTGGTACCCAAACCTATTCTTTTTCTTATCTTAATTGTCAAGTTTTAAAAGTTTTTCTTTGAAATCTTGTAACAACTGACGAAAGGGAAAAAAGTTTTACCACTTTGCTCAATGTGCAGGAACCTATTTCCTTTACCACTGAATACAAACCTCTTAAGATCCAATGAGAAAGCATTTAGGAAGGCCCTACAATGCAAAATTTCTAGTACTTTATACTCAAGAATACCCCCAACCTAAAAAACCCAGGAAGCCCAGCCACATAAACAAAGTCATTATCCCTGGCCCACCTGTAGATCTCCATGTCCCTTCTCACCAGCTTTGTAATGGTCTGTCACTCTTCCTTGACCCTCTCAAGCCTTGCTTTGCTGATCTATCAGCTAGGAGGTTACTTTCAGCTTGGGGGGATTCTCCAAGCTACCTTCTACCCACTGAGTTTGTAAAGGACATGCCTAGAGCCTCAAGTTCCCGAAGCTCTCCGGTTGACTGACTCCTGGTAGAGGGAATCAGGACATGGCCCCAAGTCTTAGAGACATCCTTGGATCTTTTGGTTAGGCTAAACACTGCCTAAGTTTTCTTAAGGACCTTTGAGTACTACTTAACTCAAAATCATACCAAACTTTGCTGATGTACAATCTAAATACTTAAAAATACTACTTACCTGCTGTAAGCCTTGTGTTCCAGACACAGGTACCTGCATAATAGTTTGGCCTTGTCCACCTGGCACAGCCTGGACCATGATGGGTTGGCCAGTTGATGTAATTAGCTGGCCTCCACTGACTTGTACCATTAATGGCTGTCCCTGGACCTAGAATGAAATAAAACACCAACAATGAAACAGTGTAAGACACAAGTGGCTTCACTAAGACATTCACTGGTCACTGGAACTGTCCTCCTACTTAGCAAGAGGGGAGACAAGACAGACTTAGGAAAGTCAGTCCTCTCCCCTCCCCCTAGACAGGGTCATTCTATTCTATGCAGTGCTAGCTGGTCTTGAACTCAGAGATCCTCTTGCCTCTACCTCCCAAGAGCAGAGATTAAAAAGTCTTTTTACATGCCCCCCCCCCACTGTGTGTGTGTGTGTAGGTTGTGTGCATATGCTGCAGAAGGTGGGATGTCAGACCCCTGGGAACTCGAGTTCCAGGTGATTAAGAGCTGCCACATGGGTGCTAGGAACTAAACTCCGACCCTTTGTAGTAGCAGTATGTGTTCTTAACCACTGAGTCATCTCTGCAGCTCCAAGAATGTAAGTCTTATGCTCTTCAGATATCTGATATTTTTTTAAGTGCCAAGATAGATATTCAAAAATAATGGAAATTATCTAGAATCTGGAAAATCTCAATAGATAAGGCATTTATCACCAAAACAAGCTGAATCCAAGAAAACAGTCAAGTTATCAAAACTGTTTGAATTCTCAGTTTCGCTAAAGGCTGGAAAAGCAGTAATGAGGGAGAGGTAATGTGGTGGGAGTGAGAAATGAATCAAAGTGCAGCCCCAACTCCAGAGGCTTAATAGGATAAGCTCTGAAAGCTCACTTGAAGGTTCTCCTGGGCCTCACGCAAAGGGAACCATGAACATTCACCTCCACTTCATTCCGAGGAGTCCAGGAATGGCTGCTGCTTCTACCACTAAAGACTCACGGACTGGGCAGGCCAGTAATCCCAGCACTCTGAAAGCTGAGGTTTGAGGACAGATGGGTTACACAGTGAGCTCCAGATAAGCCTGATAAGACCCTGTCTCAAAAATCAAGCCAATAAATTAAATAAATAAAAAAAAATCAAGTCAAAGCAAGACTCTCCAGAAATACTTTCCAGTCAGTGATCATCACAGTAGAGTTCTGTGTACTGCATCTTAAATCTTTGCATAGTTATTTTAATTATCAAAAGCAATGAAACACTGAAATCAGACAGCTACTGTGTGTAAATGATTTCCAATCTTCAAGTCTTCACTCTAGAAAGGTAGAGGCACACATGCTGTCAGCTCTTGAACCCCAATGTGAAAACTCAGGGAGAATGCCTTTCAGAGGTCCAGACAGAACTGCTTTGGAAGTGTGGATGAGTAACAGGACAAACCCAAACTCTCCCTTAAGACTGTCTTTGCTTGAAAGAACTATTTGTAACAGAAAAGAACAAAATACTCATTCTTAGTTCTTAGTTCCAGCAGCAGTCTACTCCAAAAGTACCAATCAACTGTGAGACTGATGAATTTGTCCTAGATAAGGAAGATGGTGAGGCTCTCTGCTACCACTCTCCATGAGAACCACCAGGAGTAGCCCAACCTCAGGGCTGTCCCGAGAAACTCGTGACTTTGAAAGAATTCATGGCTTATATTCTTACATTCTCTCTTCCTAATTCTCCATTTAAATCCCCTTTGCTACACCAATGCTTTTGTATGCTGTGTTAGGAAACTTATCAGAAGCCTTACTACAGGAGGAAAGAACTATTTAAAATTCTCCTAAAATGATGAGACTTATAGAGGAAAATTCCCATCACTTCAATTTTTTTTTTTAAATGCAATCTAGACCTATTTAAGCTAACACAGCTGTGTTGTTACTGTGTGTTGTAAGGGTGTACAGTTCCCCTGTGTCAAAGTGGAGGCTAGAAGCTGACACTGGATGTCATCTCCTACTGCTCACTACATTGTTGCTGTGAGACAGTCTCCAGGGCTCCACCAGCCCCAGGTTCTGCCTGTTTCTGCCCCTAGTGCTGGGACTACAGGGGCAAACCCACATATTTGTGTGGGTCTATGGACCCAAACTTAGGTCATTGCAAACAGTTCCCAGAGCTGACAAATTTAAGGCAATAGTTTTCTGATTATCCATCACCCCCCCACACACATACTAACAATATATATATATATAAGGACTCATGCATGAGACAGAAGCCACACAGTTAAGAGCATGTTACATTCCCATTCTATGATGGTTAATGACAATCCCAGACACCCATCTCATGTATTAAAAGATGAAGCAAGCAGGAACAGAAAGCTGCTGCACTCCCTGAGATTCCAACTGTGTAGGAAGACAAACAAAATCAACTTCTTGTATCTTAATTTATGTGTATGGCCACATGTCATCACCAAACACTACTAAGTGGCAGGGTTAGAGCAGGTTGAAGGGGTCATGACCCCTATGAAAGAGTCAAATGAGACTTTCACAGGGGTTGCTTAAGACCATCGGAAAACACAGATATTTATATTACGATTCCTAACAGCAGAATTACAGTTATGAATTAACAATGAAATAATTTTATGGTTGGGATAACAACAGTATGAGGAACTGTATAAAGTTGACAGCATTAGGAAGTTGAGAACCACTGTCTTACAGGAAGGGGTAGTTACTTTCCAGAGGATCTCAGCAGCACTCCCTGTAAAGTGAGATGCTAGTTTGAACTTGGCAGTCCCACTAAGTCATTCCAATTCAGTGGAGGAAGACATCTGAATCTCGCCAATTTCTCAAGACCTTTAGTTCTCAATGGACCCAGAAAAGACCAAAGTTGCTACTCTTGTTTTTTGAGGGAACTTAGGATATTTAAATTGACCATACACGACAGTGAAGACAGCTTAGGTTAACTCCAGCTTCCAGCTTTTTTTTTTTAAACTAGTTTATTTAAATTTATTTTATGTGCATTGATGTGAAGGTGTTAGATCTCCTGGAACTGGAGTTATAGACAGTTATGAGCTGCCATGTGGGTGCTGGGAATTGAACCCGGGTCCTCTGGAAGAACAGCCAGTGCTCTTAACCGCTGAGCCATTTCTCCAGCCCCCCCTTTTTTTTAAAGGATATTAATGTAACCAGCAATAACTTTTATTTCATTTTTTAAGAGAGCCCAATCTGGTCCCAGACTCTCACTTCTTCCGCCTCCATATCCCAAGTGCTGGGACAGGTGGCATGTACCACTATGCCCTATGCTAGCCCTTAAACATGCCCATCCAAGAGATAAGCAATCACTTCTGCAGAGCTTGTAATGAGACAGGAAAGGGTATTCAGTCCTCAGATAAACTTTGCTCAGTGTTTAGAAGACAAGTTGCGCTTTTAGCAAAAAACAAAATACAGTGCAGCCAAGTCGGTCCATGTACACACTCACTTCGTCAGTGTTATACAATTTAGGAAACTTTACCAAATGGCTGGACTGGCATCTAAGTAATCTAAAGCCTCCTGTAAAATGTCTTCCTGTTGCTTGTTTCCTGGCACTTCTAAAGCAACACACTTAGCATGTACTTCTCAGAAAACAGACACAGCATCACCAGATGTTTTGGCATAGGACACTGGCATGTTGGCCTCAGAGACATGTTAGCAGCACAAAAGGCATGCGACTTTGCCATTCAACTTGAGACCCAAACACAAAACAGCAGCGGGCAGGCGATGTTCATGCAGTGTGCACAGACTCAGAGAGGGCACCACTACCTGGAGGGTCTGGACTTGCTGGCCTGAGGCGGATGCCACCTGGGCCTCAGTCTGCAACTGGACAGCAGTGACACCACCCTGCTGCTGAGAAGGAACAGGAAGAGCTTGGATTGTATCAGGATGGAAACAGACAGCTCAAGATCTGAGATCACTTGAGGGAGGCTTCATCCCACACAGGAACTCTCAAAGATGTAGACTCTCCTATAATCAAGCTGTCATATGGCAAGATCTGTCCCCAGAGAGGGCCTTACAACATACTTCAATGACTTAAAACACACATGATAACAGTCCTTCCTTTTTCCAAAAAATAGGAATTTTAGTTCACTGCTCTACATTATAAACATTTCTTTACTTTTTAGGGTCACAGGTTTAAAGCCTTGAAACTACAGTAAAGAGTTCCTGGGGCTTAACTGCATCACCTAGGAAGAAGGAACTGTCATGGCAATCCAAATTCCAGTCTCAGAAGGCTACTGCTTCTAAGTCCCCAAATGAAGACTTAACTCCTATCCAGCTGACTGACCTGTTAGAGGCAATGTTTTCAGAAAGCCACCTTACTTTCTGTCCTGGGGAAGTCCTGCCTATGTGGAAGGCCCCTCCAAGGCCATTAGCTAAGGAGGCTGCAGCAAGCTGCTAGTGCTATAGCAGAGTGTGGACCAGGAGACTAGGAAGGCTGGGAGCCACCACTCAGCTAAACCCCCTTTAATTCAGAGTAGCCCCTCCCTCTGACCAGTGGGTTGGAACTCACCATCAATACTTCTGTCACCCTCCCACTATTCTGAGGAGAAAACACACCCAGAACAATGGTATTGGTCTGTCATCAAATAGAAACAATGTCTTTTTTCCCCCAAAGCTCAGGAATGAGGAGAAAAGAGAAGGTTCCCGACTACAAACCCAGGCAAAAACATGGCAAATGTTCTGTGTACCAATTCACACATCTGGTCGACTTTACTGTGCAAGAAGCCGGCAGCAGGAGCCCCTTTTCAATATGTACTTATCCACAGAGCAGCACCCAAAGTATTATTCTAACATTAAACTACAGCTGTTCAGAATAAACTCTGGTCTGTGGCAGAACAGACTGCCTGAAACCTGACTACTGTCTATTGTGGCTAAACCCTTATTTTATCACAAGTTAGCATAAAACAAAGGGAACAAGTAGACTGAATCCAGAGAAAAGCAGACTTTCATTTCAATAAGCTACAAAGGGCCAATCTACTTTTAAAGTGATCTTCACAAAGAACATATGCCAAATGGCAACAGACTGTATCTCAGTACAGTACAAGTCACAAGACCTAGGACTTACAAGGTCTATTAGGGCCCAAGAACTTCCACAGAGTAACCACAAACAGCCTGCTGCTGCATCCATCACCAGCTGCAGTACTGTGATGGTCAAAGTACACTCGATCCCATACCTGCTGCTGAATCTGGCCAGCCTGCACCACGATCTGCTCTGTGGAACTATTGCTGTTTGTGGTATACTGCTCCATGCTCTACAGACCTCAGGCAGCTGCCAGGTAGGGATTCCTAGTAGAAGGGGAAGAAGAAAACCTAAAATGAGTCAATCAGTAAAGGCTCTCTTAAGACACAATAATTTATTTTCTAACTGTATACAACATTAATAAGAAAACCAATACATGTTTATATATTCACTTTTTTTTTTTTTAAAGAGAGGACTATATAGCACAGTCATAAAACATTACAGTCAGCTGGTGGTGCACATCTGCAATCCCAACACTGGAGAAGCTGAGGCAGGAGGCTGAGAGTTTGAACCAGCCTGGGCTATACAAACCTTCTTCAAAATGACTAACCAACAGAACAAGAAACATGGTACTGTATTTTCACCTTTAAAAAATGCTTCTACTTATTTTTTTTCCTGGCAACTTACCTTATATATTAGCTATCTCTGTGATGTTGTGACTAGAAACCTAACAAGAGGAAAGGAATTATTTATTTTGGTTCAGTTTTAGTGGATTTTAGTTCACTGTGGGTGTGAGGTTGAGAAGTACATTTCATACCATGGTGAACAGGACATAGAAAATACTCTAAGAGGCCAGGATAAGATAATAGTCCCCAAGAACAGACATACCTCTTAGTAACCCACTTCTTCAAACTAGGCACCATCTACCAATAATGACATCATATAAATGCACCAAGGGATTATTCCATCCAAATCAGAGCCCCCAGGATGCAACACCGTCACACATACCCAGGTGTGCCTTATTAATTTGCTGTTCCTCAACCCAGTTAAGCTAATAAAAGCGATCACTTCTCAGTATCACCTTTAATCTGGGCCACACCTTCTGCTGATAGCAGCCTATATAAAGGACACAGGAAAGGAAAAGCAAGGAGCTTTCTTTCACCAACTCTTTGCCTGCTTGTTCTTGCTCCTTCACTGGATTAGAGCCTACTATTTCAGGATTCCTGACCTACACTGAAGAACAGCTGAGACATCCAGCTTCAAGGACTGAACAACTGTTGGATGCTGGGACTTTCTCTTGGTAGACCTTGTTGGACTACAACTTGTAAGTCATTCTATAAATCTTCCATCCATATAAATACACATATGGTTCTGTTCTGTTCTCCAGAGAACCCTGACTAATTCATGTTATATTACATAAGTCAGACTGAAAAACCACACATTCTCCCTCCTTGGCCATAGGCACCTTTGCTTGTGTGGAAATGGGTGAGTGGATGTTTCTGTGAGCAGAGATCATATAACTAGAAGAGGGCACAAAAGGTGTAGAAGAGGTGTTAAAGCAGTAGGTAGAATATAAAGGAAGTTTTAAGTGTCAGTGTGTGGGCACACTGGATATTGTTAGGTACCTTTCCATTTCTAAGAAACAAATTGACCAAGAAAAGGTTCATTCCGGTTCGCTGTTTAGGCTGTGCTGTAAAGTGATTATGTTGTGATTTTTAAAAAGCTGCTCACCAAGTGGTGGTGGCGCACGCCTTTAATCCCAGCACTTGGGAGGCAGGGGCAGGGGAATCTCTGAGTTATGCCAGCATGGTCAACAAAGCTACACAAGGATACCCTGTCGTGAAAAACAAACAAAAAATGGCCCAGATTAAAGGTGAGTCTTTCTACCGCAAAAGATATGGATTAAAGGTGGATCTTCCCACTTCAAATAATTCAGTCAAGAAAAAAATCCTCACAGTTATACCTGGCACCTTAATTCTAGACAGTCAAGCTGACAACCAAGAATAGCCATCACATAACACTTCCCAGATTTATCTGCTTTTCCTGCAGATTTAATTTTTTCGGCTGAATAAAATTCCACTTTGCATATACACGGTATTTTCATTATCTATTCTGTTGTTGACACATCTAGGTTGGTTCCATTTGTCAATTCTTAGGACATGGCCACTTGTGTCCTATTCAGGAGATTCTTATCCTTTTACTGCCATATCACCCTGGACACACCTGATCTTGTCTGATCTCACAAGCCAAGAGGTCAGGACTGATCAGTCCTCAGTACTTGGATGGAAGGCCATCCTTTTCAGTCTATATCTTAAGTGTTTTCCTCCAGTGGTAACTTACTCTTGTGATTAAAAAAGAAAAAAAGGCAGAAAGATGAATCAGTATTTAATATGGCTAATGGCAGAATCTAAGTAATAGGTGCATGGGTATTCATAACATTCTTTCAACTTCATTGTCTAGAAATTTCTGAACAAAAATGTTGGGGGAGAATACTCAATAAAAATAATAACCAGGTGCTGAGCAGAAGTGGCACACACCTTTAATCCCAGCACTCAGGAGGCAGAGGCAGGCGGATCTCTGTTGAGTTCAAGGCCAGCCAGCTCTATAGAGCAAGTTCCAAGACAGCCAGTGCTATTACAGAGAAACCCTGTCTCAAAACACCAAAAATAAAATAATCAGGCTCATTATCCATAACAAAAATAGACCACTATGCCTTTAATGTAGGCTACAACAGACTTACAATGGGAAGATGATATAAAAAGCAACATAACTAAATTTAATCACTACTTTATTAGCAACCTAAGTGAAAGTGATTGCTACTTTTTAAAACAATGGTTTTTACACTATGTATGTAACCTGTCTGGACCACTCTGACCCCGTTTTTCATTTTATATTTTTGTCTTTGTCTTAATCTAGAGTACGCATATGAGAACATAGTTGGTATTTGTAATTCTGAAAATGCCTTCTTTCCCTTGCAGTGAAGTTTCAGTTCCATCCATTTCCCTAAAGGTAACATAATTCTGTTCATAATGTATGTTTTTCTTTATCTATTTACCCATTGATTGGCACCTACACAGACTCCTTAACATGGTGATTGTGAAGGTACTGCAATAAAGTGCAGTGACTTTCTTTATTTGTTTATTTTGAGACAGGGTTTCTCTGTGGCTTTGGAGCCTATCCTGGAATTAGCTTGTAGACCAGGCTGGTCTCGAACTCAGAGATCCACCTGCCTCTGCCTCCCTAGTGCTGGGATTAAAGGCGCGCACCACCAACGCCCGGCAAGTGCAGTGACTTTAGCATATGTTGATTTTGCCTTCTTCAGGTGTGGTACAGCAGGATCACATTTTTTTTTTTTTTTTTAGTTTCTTGAGGATTTAAGACACTGTGATGGCCATTCTTAGTTATCAACTTGACTACATCTCGTATTAAAATCCAAGCAGCTGGGCACACCTGTGAGGAATTTTTCTAAATTAAATCATTTCAAGTGGGAACACACCTTTAATCTGGGCCACACCTTCTGGTGTCAGCCTTTATAAAGGACATGGAAGAAAGCTTTTGCTCTGACTGCTTGCTCTCCCTGGCCAGTTCATTCCTTCACTGGCATTACAGCCCATTTCTTCAGGATTCTGGTATGTATGAAGACCACCTGAGACCCCCAGCTTTGAGGATTAAACCACTACTGGAATTCTTGGACTTTCGGTTGGTAGACAGCCATTGTTGGACTAGCTGGACCACACCTGTAAGCCACCTTAACACACACAGTCTCTCAGTTCTATTTCCTGAGAACCCTAACACATGCAATTTCCATATACTCTCTACAGTGGCTGAACTAGTTTATATTTCAATCTATAATATTTAAGAGCTACTCCCTCAACGGCATTCTCTATCTTCTTTTTTCTGGTTTTTCGAGACAGGGTTTCTCTGTGTAACAGCTGTTCTGGAACTCACCTTATAGACAAGGCTGGTTTCTGCCAGCCTCTGCCTCCCAAGTGCTGGGTTTAAAGATGCACACCACTATTCTCTATTTTCTTAGTAACAGCTATTCTGACTAGAGTGAGAATTACAGTATAGTTTGATTTGCATTTTCCTGTTGGCTCAGTATGTTATTTTTTATACATCTACAGGCAATTTGTAATTTTTTGAGAAATACTGCTTAGGTTATTTTGGTTTTTAATTTGAGTTCTTTCTATATTCTGGATATTAACCCCATCAGATGAAAAGCTGGCTAAATCTGCAGATTTTTATACCAGCCTTTTCTGAGCCAGTTGAATGAGTTGGTTCTTGAGAAACTCCTGGCACAATATGGAAATCAGCTAAACTAATAGCTCTACTAGGGAAACCAATGCTTTCCCTTTGGGGTGTGTGTGGGGGGGGCAGGGTTTCTTTGTATAGCCCTGGTAATCCTGGAACCCACTTTATAGGCTGGCCTCAAACAGAGATCCACCTGCCTCTGCCTTCCAGGTGCTGGGATTAAAGACATGCACCACCACAGCAAGCACAATGTTTCCAAATTTTACCCACTGTCTAACAATGTATCTGTCTTTAAACTAATAGAGTTAAGGCTACAAAACAAACAAACAAAAAAACCCAAGCATAGCACTATTCAAGTAAAACCCGTGATAACAGCAGCCTAGAGAGAGAAGGAAGATCAGAGTTCCTTGGGCCTGAGAAAGAGAGGGGGAGGCTGACTGGACCAGCTGTAAGTTCTCATTTTCCTGAAGTAGGGACTATACAGGTGTGGAGAGCTTTAAAAACTCACCAAAAATATATACAGTGATTACACTGTGATGTGAAAAATGGAGATTAACATCCTCTGTATTCACACTCACTAGCCCCAAGTCTCCTTCCTATAAGGCTTTCCTTCTCCTTGGCTAAATTTCCATAAATCTACATCTTATCGGATTAAAATGTTAAATGGAGCTTGAAGTGAGCAAGGATGGTTTTTAACAAGCAGCATTTACTAGTTTATGCCACAAACAATTCCCTCTCAGGCCATTGAAACCCACTGTACTTTGAAGGGTAAAAGCAGAGGCAGCTCCAAATATTAATGCAGCCACTCTGCATTAATAAGGGAGCAAAGGTACTTGAAGCATGACATTCGGGTTGCTCATGGTGCCTGCTTCTGGCAACTTCAGCCAGCAGAACTGCTACACAATCAGACATACTGTCTTCCTCAAGCACTTCTTTCCCAAGACTATGACAAAATCGAGCCAGATGGATTTAGACCGTCTCGAAAATGTTTTTTTGGAAGTGAGAATATAAATGAATATGAATGAGAATGGATTTATTCTGGTCTCTGGTGCATTCTTTCCACAGCATTCCCTGCCCATTTAGAAGGCACAGAAGCAGTTGGGCAGTGCTTAGAAAGGTAATTTATCTGAAGTTATTAGAGAGCTGAAACGTTCAGAAATGCAACCACAATGAGCATAAATAATATCAACACAGGCTAGTGAACTTGACAATCACAAGCATCAGACTAGGATCTTTGAAGGCTCCAAATCTGCTCCTTTTTTCTACTAACAATATACCATGAACTTAAATAAAAGCCTCTAACTTCAATGAGGCTTTCAAGTCTAAAAAGGAACAAAAATGTTTATTAGACTCCCAGGAGGAAAACAAAGTAAACAGGAATTTTGGAGGACAGAGGGTTCTCCAGCTCAGACTAAATCAAGGAAATTGCCTGTGAACTAACTAGCATGTGAGATCTTAGGTAGGTGATGACAGTCTAAGCTGAAGTACTTCTCTGGGAAAGTCTCAGGCTGTGTCTAGAGAAAGCGAGTCTGCACTACTTTTTTCCTAAAAATGCAGAGGCAGATGAACAAGGAGGCTTCACACACTTGGGCAACTGTGATCAGAGGATAACTCCCCATCGACAGCAAAGACATTTGGCATTTTTGAAGAGCCCAGATGCATCCAATTTTAAAATACTAAGGTCAGAACACCCAGTCCAAAGACAACTCTATCTTTAAAAAAGATGGAAGCTGTGCTGCGGCTGGCCCATTTACTATTGCAAACGTAAGAAATAAGGTGTGCTGGTTAGTTATTGTCACCTTGACACAAACTAGGATCTTGGGGATGAGAAACATCAGAGAAAATGTCTCCTTTAGACTGGCCTGGGGTAAACATGTGCAGCATTTTCTTGAAGACTGTGGGAGGAGCCAGGGTCCAAGCCCCTTGGATGTATCACCTCTGGGAAGGTGTTCTGAACAGCACCCCATAGCCTCGTCTTGAGTTGAAATAAACTTCCCCAAGCTGCATTTCCTGGTGCTTATGACAGAAAAAAAAAAAAAAAAAAAGGCGAACTAGAGCATAAGGGAATTAAGAAAACAATTTAACAAATTGTTAAATTTGTTAAACGTGGGCCCGGAACGTGGGAGCACAAGGACAGGTCGGGGGACGACGTCTTCCTAAAATGTGAATACAAGCTGTTTTGGTTCAGGAGCACTGGATTAGTTTTCTCAAACCCACCAGTTAAGTGTGACTAAAGAAACCACACCTCCTCACCCTGAAGGGCTCCTGTCAAATGACGGCAACTGATGCTTGCTTGACCTGAGTAAAAACAATTTCCCCCAACCAGAGAAAAATTTCCTTTTCTTCCTTTTAAAACAAAAAACAAGGAAAAAAATCCCCCAAAACTCAGTTATTATTATGGGATAGAGTCCTTAGGTCAGTAATTTATTCTTTTTTATTCAATGTTAGGGAGAAAATCCACTCTACATCACTTTTAAGCTCCAGTCAAAACTGTTTCCAAAAATTCCTTTGTGAGCTCTGCAAGGGTTTCACAATCTGGACTTTCCCGCCTAAACGCTCAGTACTACTGGCCCTTGCTGAGTCCGACAGCACTATCTGCCCTGTCTCCGAGGACAGTATCCTCCAATCAAAAGTGTGCCGATGAAAACTTGGCTGGCTTCTTCACAAAAAGCGCACTAACCCCCAGGTACTGATTTTCAGCAGCCAATCTCCACCGAACCAACAGGCGCGGTTCTTACCTCAACCCTCTCCCCCTTGCAGCACAGCACTTGAGTGACGGCCGCCAAAGACTACTAGCTAGCTGCACGTGAAGACTCTCTCTGCCCGGAGGAAAAGAACTCAGCATCTAAGTTTTTAAACATCTGTTGAGAAGACTTTCCCACGGGATTTGGAAATATATTAGAAGAAAAGGACAGGAATGGGCTGAGCTGAGCGGAGCCTAACACTTAACTGACACAAAAGGTTAAAAGAAAACAGAAACAGAGAGCATCCGAGGGAGCAGGCTCGCAGGAGGAGACACGGATAATAAATAGGAACTGAGATGCGTCCCCAGTCATGAAGCATGCACGGTTATCAGCCTTGGCAAAGGGCGAGGTTCCAAACACCGAGCGGCAAGAGGAAGCAGCGCTTGGTTAGACTCCAGCA